TTGTGTTATGAACATAAGACGAATAATTATAAAACGTTTGAACATTTGACAAAATAATCAACTAATGCATTCTCCCTGTGTGCAAAAGAATTTACTAAAATGCACTTTTTCTGACAAGCGCTTGTCGGGGGTATTCGGCAGTTGGGACAAGCTTTGTTGTTGTTTTTTTTAATTTTTATTTCAACAGTCAAAATCTAAGGACGGGATGAATGATATTTAAGCATCAATGCTTGTCGAGTGAGAATTTCAAGGAATAAAGTTTAGGGCAAAATGATATCTAACCTTGCGGCCCCTCTTGATAACATTGTTTTAATATGAGGGAAGTTGGACTTTTTCATTATCCTTCATGAACATACTGTATTTTATTTGTCATTAAATGTATGAAATTGTGCATGTAACATTTAACATGAACTGGTAAAATTTAGAAGTTGTTCAACAACCGCAGATGTGTTCATATGGCGGTTATCATAGAACCTTCAATGTGACACGTTAGTGCCATAGTGCCATTCCATGGAAAGCGGCATATGGTCCCCAAGTAAAAAATGTGTGTGCCCTAAACGAGAAAAAAATCGGCGGAACTAAATAAAACGATATTTTGAAAGGGGATCTAAGGTTAAGAAGCCTGCATATCACGGATATGACGTCAAAAGACAAATTTATAAAGCAGGCAACATATCCTAAGGGTGATTAAACAGTATTCAATTGACGAATACTGGAACCACCCAACAAGACACATGCCGAATAGAAAGAACTCAAATACTACAAGCACAACAATAATGCGGCGCTGAACGATCTTTAAGGATCGGAAATATAACATCCCTGATTGAATGTACGGGGCGACTTTTTACAGCCTCCACACGACACAAACAACGCTGATGTGGCGACAAAATAGAGAGAAAAAAGAAAGAAAGCCCAACACGGCAAAATTGAAAATGTTGCAGGATCGGTTTGATCGAGCCTATTCATGGACAGTATTCCAGCAACTTACAAATATTGCATTGCTTTGTTCGATTTCAATCATAGTTAATATAATATTATATGCAGTATATCAAGGTAAGAATATTTAAATCTTAAAAGGCATCATAATCTACACGTTTGTTTTCGGGATTCCGACCTTAAAGAAATTTAGAGGTAGCCGTTTTTAATGTTACTATTATTGTTTTGCTTTTCGCAATTTCTTGAGGAATGTTTGTCAGTTGTTAATAATGTTCATGCAATGTTAAGTATAGTTAAACTGTTGAACGAACCATAAATTTCATTTCAAATCAGTCAAACTTACCTGTCATTACGAGCTACACCATTCAAATAAACAATCACTATTGCATGTTTTGGGGGCAAGTGTTGCTGTTATTGCTGTTGTCTTTCATGTAATACTTAAAGTGCATTGGTCATAGTGAAAGGTTTGTGATATCATAGATAATCTGTATCTTAAATGGCACCAAACAACAAAAGGAATATATATTTACATATAAGTGATGTTGATAAGTGCATTGAGATACAAATTAAAAATCAAATAGCTATATAAAGCAGATTGTAAATTGATTTAGAGCAATCATATATCCTTCATATATGGAAGAGCATTAGTGCCAGGTGTATGTTTTTTATTAACTCGAAATTTCGAGTTACTAACTCGATGTTTCGACTTACTTATCTCGAAATTTCGAGTTACTAACTCGAAATTTCGACTTATGAACTCGAAATTTCGAGTTACTTATGTCGAAATTTCGAGTTACTAACTCGAAATTTCGACTTACTAACTCGAAATTTCAACTTATAAACTCGAAATTTCGAGTTACTAACTCGAATTTTCGAGTTACTTATCACGAAATTTCGGGTAAGTAACTCGAAATTTCGACTTACATTGCACGACTTTCATTGGTTGCCGGTGAAAGCAAGGATTGAATTCAAGATACTTTCTTTCGTGTGTAGCTGTTGCACATTGACAGAGCACCTTTAACATTTATTAAACAGAACAATTTTATAGGGTAAAATTGTCCACACATACTGAACATATCCTTCGTTTTTTTGTGGAGGGGGGGGGGGGCGGGTTGTAAAATAACACTTTCCACATTTCTGTATTAACCGGGTGTTTCTTTTTCTTAAGCACACATACAACCATCATGTGGAGAAACAACAAGTCCAAAGCCACCCTATTGTAAACTGTGCAATATCATGTGTTAAATAAGTTTTAAATGGCGTGTATACGCCAGTTAGCCTGTCACGTTTCTTTATACTAATAATGTTTTTGTAACATTACTCATTATTTACTAATACTTTGATATTGTGTTGATAAAAGTTGATAAAAGTGATACTTGTTGTTATATATATGTTGGGAATAATATAAAAGCATCCGATTTTACAAGAAATATAATCAGTCCAACAATTTTGACAAAGGCCTCAGCACGCCCTATTTTGGCCACGCCGCGATACTTTCCTCAGATGTCCCACACGTGAAGTATAGGATCGGTTTTTTTACAGGGATGAGAAGAATATGATTAGTGAAAAGATATGTTCGAACAGATTGGATACAATACAACGTCTGAAGAACGCCTGAACGTACAAATTAAAGGAAGCCTTGTTTTTTTAGGTCGAGTGTGTACATGCCATTACTAAGTTTAAGTTAAATTTCAATAGTTTTTGTCCAGGCACCCGTTTCTCCATCTCCATTGTTCAAAAGCACTGCCTACTATATCTTATACCATCTAACTAATAACTTTGGCCATTCTTGTAATGTTAATAAGTCGAAATTTCGAGTAACTAAGTCGAAATTTCGAGATAAGTAACTCAAAATTTCGAGTTAGTAAGTCGAAATTTCGAGTTAGTAACTCGAAATTTCGAGATAAGTAACTCGAAATTTCGAGATAAGTAAGTCGAAATTTCGAGTTAGTAACTCGAAATTTTGAGATAAGTAAGTCGAAATTTCGATTTAGTAACTCGAAATTTCGAATTAGTAACTCGAAATTTCGAGTTAATAAAAAACATAAACCTGGCACTAATGCTCTTCCGTATTCATATCATATAAATGTTGACATTTATTAACTTTGACCTTATCAACATATTTAATCTAAATATTTTTTTTTTCAGTAATAAAAATGATAATTTGAATTATATAGGTTCGGTATCTATGCATATTACCAAATGTGCAAAATAAAATATTCAGACTGATAATTATATAACATCAAACGTTTTTTGCTGGTACATTAGGTATCAATTGCGTTTTCATACCGGTTTGAAACTGAGAAGGGGCTCATTATTAGCGAATTATTAGCGAATTTATATTCCTAAAGGAATTATAAATTCGGTTAGTGTCTCTTTACTCTGTTTAGGCAAACTATATGATGTGACAGTTGGTGAAATCTTTTCCAAGCCACATATTACCCACATCAACCTGAATTCAGAGAAATATTTAGTTACGGTAATAGACTCTTAAAATATATTTTATACCCGTTACCATATTAGTTTGAAATGTACATATTTTTATATTATTCAATGGAAAAGTGCAATTTCCTTAACGTCCCCTAGCACCGGCTTGAGCGGTACTCAATTCTAAACACTTAAAAATGCTGGACTCGATGATCTTGAAGGACCAGAAAAATATAACAACACTGAATTGAGGCACAGGGCAACTTTTTACGGCTGTCACACATCAATTGACACCTGCTATTGTGATGTATAAATATGTGGTAAACATGTGACCCCCGGAAGCATTAAAAACAGCAAAAAATACATGAAAATAGCAGAATCGGTTTGATTGAGTCTGTACATGAGATATGGCGTGGCAAAACTAGATACACACTAGCGCAGTCTATTTTTCTAAATTTCAAAATCTTGATTTTAATAATTCTTATTTGTGGAAAAATATTTTGTATTGGAAAAAGAGTGATACATTATAATTGTGAAAGAAAATATGATGACTGGTTCTACTGATAAAGTGTTGTTGTTTTGTTTTTGTAATTTTTGGCCAAACTTTATTTGATAATGTTTTCATTGTGTATTGTCAAATCATTTGCAGAATATTTGGTTTAGAGTACTTTACAAATTAGACTTTAAAATGTTCAAAGATTCTATCACTTCTATCGAATTTTTAAACCTACCTAATTGTTTCAAAAACACACATAAAAACAAAGAAATTGGGGGTGACAGGAGATTAGCCTATGGTGGAAATATATGCATAGTACAATATGGTCAAAACCTACATGTTCATAATATAGCCCAACGTTTCGGAGTAATTTGAACAAAATTAAAATAATCCAACAAATGTACAAACCATCAGGTTTTGCCTGAACCGCAGCGGGATTACAAAACATTGTGAAAAAAAAGAGGAGCTAGTATATTGAAGACAATGCTTTGAGTCACATAATAAACTCATGTCAAATCTTATTTGCCTTACGCAAAATAGCTGGAATTTTGACAGCTTATCATATATGAAAACTTATATTTTCGTTTGGTGCCTCCAGAGTCCCTTACTTGGGCGTGTCGGGGGGCTGCATCCTGTTAACGTTGCCCTTGCCTGGTTGATCTTCATTCTTGTTTTTCAAGTTATTCTTCCCGCTTTCATCCATGCAATGTATATACGTACAGATGGACAGATTGGCACATACATACGAACAAATTACATGGTCTTTTAAAATCTTGTGTTTGTATATAACTTTAATCGTCACGATTTCGACAAATACAGACACTTCATAATTCACGTGCAGGTTTGTGGACTTAAATACTTATCTCCATTAAAAACGGAGTTTCAAATGCAGTTTCATACTAGTAATAATTATTGTAGAATTGTCCGTTTAAACACACATGTAACATTTTATTAAATAGTTAGATATTATAAGATTTATATAATCACTCTATCGCTAAATTTGCACCACTTCGCAACATTTACCATATTATTATCTGATCTGACGATAATTGGCGGAAGTGTTGCAAAGGAAACAACACATAAAGATGATTTGATACTATCAATTTACATAAACGTTAACTGGATTTCACGAACCGGAAGTTGTAATTACCACTTGAAACAATAATTAGATCTGACTGAAGCAAGCTTAATTTGTTTTAAATATATAGAAAAGACATATTGTTTTCCTGGCTCATTGTATTGGAATTTAAATATATATAGAAAAGTGGCTACCAATTTTAACATGTCAAGGATTTTCTATAATCTGTGCACAATATGTTTTGTTATATCATCAACAGTGCTAATATCCGGCCACGGTAGGTTTATGTTTCATTTTATTCAGTTCGCATTTTAAAAATGCTATTTTATACATTTTTATTCATGTAAATAGTGAAATAAGTTCAGTAACCTGTAATTAAAATGTTGCGTAACTGTCTTTTTTATATAGGAATGAAATTCTGCTAAAATGCAAGACTGATCAACCTTTTCGTAGAAATAGCTAACCATCCCTTTTCTATTGCATGCTAATTATTGTTCCGCGCCCACAGGCGCAGAGTTATTTGTGGTTTTGTTGTTGTTGTTGTTGTTGTTTTTTGGTCCATGGGTCCGGATGTTATCAATTATTTTTACGAGGGATGATTTTTTTACTGTTACTCACAAACCCATGTGTTATTTATTTTATTACCCCGAACAAAAGTACTGTGATGATCTGAAATTGTCAACTAAATCTAACTGTTACAAAAATAAACCAAGAGTAACAATAGCTAAACTGTCCTTACCTTTTAAGTTTTAAGTGCACTTTAGGCCTACTTGAGAAGTTTTCTTTTTCTTTTATTCTTTAAGCAAGTGATGATATCTACAAATCATAAACATATACAATAAGCTAGGTTTTATTAAGAAAAAAAAACATTAACCCATTTACACGGTTATGATCTTTGAAATCTGATCCTTCTGTTTCCAGAATATTCTTAGCATGGTTTTTGACAAAATAACGATGATATCCTATGTCTGTCGACCATATCTGTAACGTTTCACTGATTAAAATTGTTAAATAATCCTTAGTTGCATGCTTAAGTCGTCTGCATGTTCCAGTTTGACACATAATTATTTACATTGCAATTACTTCCGTTGAAAACGGATGTTCACTTTTTGAATATTCAACAAAAACAATATTTTATATGCGAAAAGCACACCGTGGCGCGATCAACTAAATTTTATGAGTGTCATAGTTACACCAGAGAAAAAAAAAGATTTCCTATCGGGGTTTAACGTCGAAAATAAGAATGAATCGACAAAAAAATGGCGGCCATTTTATTTAGAAAATAGACCACGTGACCAGATTTTATACTGTTAAAAAATACTGTTATCTATGTAACAGTACAAAATTCTTAGTCACGTGGTACACTTGCATTAACAGAAAAAAATAACTCCCAGAGGCCTATGGGAAATTAGCATTACGAAAAAAGTGAGGGGTGATAATATAATTTAAGATGTCATTCTCATATTTCATCAGAACTTGTTCACCACCTACTCGAGAATGAAATGGAGTCATATATCTATGACTGTTGATCGGTTCCAAAAGTGCAATGTATGAATTCTACTTTCTGCACGAGAAAAGTGATGTGAACTAAACATATGATTTTTTTAATTCACTTATTTAGCAAAACTGAGCACATAAACTTCTGAAACGTAACATGATTCGTATGTAATTCCGAAAGTGCGCGCGCTATCGTCATGCACTAAGCAATCCAGTAAAATAAATCAAAACATTTCTGCTAATAGTAATGATCTTTAATAATATTGCTTTTAAATTACAGTTTCTGTTCCAGAGCAAATTATTTATTTAAAATGTAGAACTAATTTTCGTTCTAAGACATATCTATGGATAAAACGACTTGGACCATGCGCAAAGAAAATATTTGCTACTAATAAAAATGTATATATTCTGAGGTGCTCGAAATAGTCGCTTAACCTTCTAAAAATAGCACACATATCGTTGCAGGAAACTTTTCATTCTAGACCTCCCTCTTTCTCTCATTTTCCGTCCATGTGCATGCGTGCGCGTCGGCGTGCATGTTTGCGCGCGTGTGCCAAAATTGGACAATAACAATACCTCGATCTTTTTGATGCACAAGTCTTTTTTTAAATGTTTTAAATTAAAGTAAAATGGAAACTTTAATTATTTCAACAAATATGTGACGAACTCTGTAATGTGCACATATTGTTCAAATAAAGTAAATGTTTAAAACATTTGACAAATAAGAATTAAAGCATTTACAAATTTCCTTATCTTTTACTGACTAAAGTTGCTGATGAAAAATAAGTAAAGATTTGATCATAAGGCATCCGTCTGTGGTCGTTCTTTCACTCTGACGATAATGATAATGAAGCTAGTAAGTGAACTCGCTGGTCAGAATGAATTAAAAGTGTAGTAGTAAGATGTTTTAAAACATGTTTTTTTTCCGTATCACATCATTTGAATCATATGTGACCACTGGTATGTACAAGTTATATAGCACTTTACTGTCAAATACATGTATAAATTAATAGGTAGCCACAATCCTGGCTAAGTGACATAATCACTATTTTACAACATACTGAATAATAAGTACGGTTGTATACACAGAAGTAAATTATAGGTTTTTTTTAATATACTCTATGATATTATTAAAATTTCAATTTTCATTTTAAATAACAGCTATCCAAGATGGTAGAGAGACAGGCAATAATCTGAGTACAACAGGTAAAAATGTTTAACATTGTTCTATCTTACATGTGGGTTATTTTTACACGTACAATAGTTGTTCATTAACTTCATATAAAAGCCAAAACATAAAAATCACAAAGCTGTTTTTGTATTTACGAGTAATATATTTTATTCACTATCAAAATATGTAACCAAGCGGCAAATTGAATAAAAGATACGTCATAAGTTTAGTTGTAATTTCTGTACAACACGTGTTAATTTTTATTCTTCAATAAATAAACTGCTTCCAATTATCAAATTTTTAATACTTAACATAATGTAAAAGTAAAATGGAAACTTTAATTATTTCAACAAATATCTTACGAACACTTTTACTCCAAAATGTGTACATAATGTTCATTTGAAACATTTGACAAATAAGTATTGAAGCATGCACACATCGCCATATCTTTTACTATGAATACTTAGTAACGATTTGATCATAGGGCATCCGTCTGCGATCGTTCCTTTACTCTGATGATATTATTAATGATCCTAGTAAATGCATTGGCTTGTCAGGATGAATTTAAATTATAAATGTAGCAGTAAGAGCTTTTTAAAGATGTTTATCCCGTATCAGATCAATTGAATCGTATGTGACCACTGGTACTTAAATACAGCAAAATGTTTTAACGCTATCCTGTCAAATGCTTGTATAAAGTAATAGGTAACCAGAATCCTGATCAAGTAACATAATCATTATATTACAAGGCACTGAATGACATGAAAAATTGTATACACGGAAGTAGACTATTCGTCTTTTTATACGCTATGTTGTATGTTGTTAAAATTTCTATTTTCATTTTAAATTACAGCTAATCCAGATGGTAGAGAGATAGGCGATAATATGAGTGCAGCAGGTAAAAACAGAAAATGTTCAACATTGTTCTATCTGTCCATGTGGGTTATTGTTATACGTATAAGGATTATCCTTCAAGTTTGTATGAAAGCAAAATAATGAAAGTTATAAGTTGTATTTGTATATTATGGAAAAAAACTTGTATTAACTATCGAAATTTTTAACCACACAGCAAATAGTATGAAAAACCGTTATAAGATATTTTGTAATTTCTATTTTAACGATCAATTTTTTTCAAATCGGCGCAGGTAAAAAAAACGGAAGACCTTCTTCCACAAAACATGTAAATTTTAGTGTTCAATCAATAAACTGCTTCCATGATTTTCCGCAACTCATTCAATGTTATCCTGATGCTATTAATTGAAACTGTGTCTGTTTTGGTCCCTCCTGGGATTTTGTCACTAGTTCTTGTTGCTGGGTCGTGTGTGGGTTGCGTTCTCATTGAACGCCGCTTTTTCTTGTCGATGTTGTTTATCATATTTTGACATAATTCACTACTGTGTTCTTACAGCACGCTTAATTAACTAAACAAGTTGCAAGGAAAAAGTAAAAAAGTTGTCACAATTCACGTCCAAAAGCAACGGTATTGTGCGTGTTTCATTAACATCCCTTTAAATAAGATAATAAAAAATGATAAAAGGAAATAGGGAAGGTCGACGTGAATACATATGTATAACATTGCAAATGTCATGAATCAAAAGTGGAAAGTGGCTTTGAAGACGAGTTCCGCGTGAATAGACCAACACTAATTCATAGCGGCATTGGGACCTCAGTTTACAGTTAATTACAAAGATTTAGCAGAAAAAGACAGATGGGTGAAAATGTGTTTGGAATTATACAAATAAAGAATAAACTATAATTAAAAGTTAAATTAAAATTAAAGTTCTGCGCATGAAATATTGTCAGACATTATTTATATATGAACGAACCCGGTAAAGTAATAACTAAGCTTTTGATCAAGGACGGGATTAATGATATGAAAGCATTAATGGTCAATGCTTGTCGAGTGAGAATTTATAGGAATCAATTTAAAGTCAAAATGACATCTTCCCTTGCGCTACTTCTATATTGCATAGCATTAATATGAGGGATGTTGGAGTATTTCAATATCCAAAACAAACCGAATCTGCAATTTTCATGTAATTTTGTTATGAATACCTCTCCCTGTGGATAAATATTAATTTTGCCCTGAATTTAATTGCTTGTTTTTTGTCATTAAACACAACTTAAAAGATCATTAAACTTGAATTAAAGTATCCAGATGTAATTATATCCAGTTTCATATGCTATGCGTGTCATTATTATAATTATTATTATTATTATTATTATTATTATTATTATTATTATTATTATTATTGTTATTATTATTATTGTTCTTGTTGTTGTTAGTATTATTATTATAACAATATACATTTGCTTTAGTTTATTATAGGCCAGGGAACTGAGTTATCTACATTACTGAAACTGTTTCATTTAATTGGCTGAATTCAATATAATTTCTATCTAAAACCGATGCTAATATGAAGAGCTTCTGGATATATTTTTGTCCAAAATTAAGGTAACTATATGAAATGTAAATTTGGAGTGACAATCATCCTAGGAACAGAAATAAAATAGATTCCTTAAAATTAATGGCACGCAAGTGGTATAACTAATACGAATTTTGCTAAGTGTAAGAATATATAGGACCTAAATTGATCTTTTTTGTGATAACAGGCAAAACAGAAATAAGTGTAGGTTCAGGAGCTGTAATTGGGTCTGTGATTGCTGCATTAGCTGTTGGAGTTATTATTGGTGTGATTTGTACCTTCTTTATTCTTACCAGAAAAGGATTTATAGCAGGTATTGTTAAAACACAGGTTGTTTGTCATAAATAGAAAATCATCTTTTGTTAGAAATATGGTTTATAAGCAAACTTGAAATACATTGATAGTTGTCGATAACACAAAAAAAATATTTTTTAACACTGCATAAGTTTAGATCTTTTAACAGAATGCTTAAGCTTTTATTTTAGAACTACTTTCCTGTGTTACTTAAAATAAGTCAGTAATGAAACAATTACATTTTGACAGAAGAAAATATGTGGTGATGTCTATGTAGCTTTACCGATTGATTTGTTTTATAATCATGATTACTTTTGCAAACATGATGTAGAACCATATAACAATAAACAGTTTAATTTTGTTATTATATAAATTTTAAACAAATAATTGGAAAAAACATAATATGTCATTCTATGAACTTTTACCGTTTTAAGTGGTAACAATTCTACTTTTATCAAAATAAATATCAATAAGATTGGTCGCTAAAATATGTTATGAACGAAACATTTTGCATGCGTATGTGGTTTGAACGTTCATAAGTTTATTTAATTTTAGACGTAGTAACAGCTTAGTATTTTAAATGCTTTACTATGCTATTTGATAACACAGGCTCGAAAACTCAGCCGACAGTTTCTCATGAAAAAGAATTAACTGAACCACCAACTGCTCTGTAAGTTACGAATTTTTAAATTCTATTTCTTAATATAACATATCAAGTGTATTTCGTTTCTTTCAAACGACGTTACCAACATACTATCAAAATTAAGATGCATGATTTAATATATTAAGCAATCGAAAATCACAAGTTTATAATATGTCATGATAAAAAATCAGTTCAAAAATAAAAATGGCCAAACTAGGGAGATGCCTTGTTGCTGCATATTATCCATCAATCTCATTCGCCCTTTGACGACAACGCTTAAATTGATAATTTTGGCATTGAAAGTTAACTTGTTAATCATTTCTACTAGGGATACCTACGAGCAACTTCGAAACAGAACAGATACTGAAATCAGGGGAACTTATGATTCTCTTGAAGGTATGCTGAATTTCAATTATTTCTGTCATGTCGTATTCATTTAACTTGTATTTAATTTATAATCATTTGGTTTGGTATAATAATATTACGACTGAATCTGTTTGATATAGATCGTGTAGCATTGTAAAACTTATATATTCAAGCATAATATTTTAAACTAAAGTATTTTGATATATTGTAATATAAAATCTGACATGCATTTATGATGTGTACACAGCATAATGTCTATTAAAACGAATACAATGGATTTCTTAACAAAATTTACTACCAGTCGTTTCTTTTTCAAAATTCTGTTTCAGTCAACTCCGGAGTACAGCCAAACAGGTATGGAAATCGTAAATATTTACACAAGTTTTTAGTTATTTCTTAGATAGCTTTAACATAAAATATCCATAACTACCAAGATTGATAAAATTGATCTTTTTACAAGCAATGCTCTTCATAATATAATTAAATATACTAAAGTTTAGGCCCTGTATGTATGAACATGAATATAGGATAAATTGATGACAAATCTACGGGAGAGTATGAAGTACATTCTTGCCTTTGTATGACCTTGATATTGTAGCTAATAATGCAGCTGGCTCAATCAAATTATTTACGATGCTTGGTTAACAAGCAGTACAAACAAACTGTTTGTCAATAATATATTATAAGAGTAAACTTTGTTGACCAAAGACTGTAAACTGAATCTTTGGCAGAATCATGATAACTATTGTAACATTTATAAGATCTGCTCTGCTATTTTACACTCTTATTGTAAGTTTCTTTTATTTTATGTTTTTTAATATGCTCTTTTATATGTCAATTTTCAGCCAATCCCAGTATGAAAGTCTGAATCAGGATGCAGAGAAATATCACACATATACAGATCTAAAACAAAGCCGATAAATCTTGATAACCTACTTGAGAGATTCGTCTTGAACCTTCTAGACGTTTCGGGAAACATTGAATTTATAGAAAGATAGTTTGTAAAATTTGTATTACTGTTATATCAATGGAAGATATCGTTACACAAAAAAGTGGCAGTGTACATAAAGATATTTTATAGATGAAAAAGGAATTTCATGTATTCTGTTATTATAACTCTTTTGAAAAATAAGAAAAATACTGTTTTTTGAACTGGTGTTTTCTGGCATTTATTTTGCTACTTGAATTATTCAATATTATTCTTAAAAATTGAATTTTTATACATTTTTGCTTCACATTTGTATAGCTAAAACATGTTTTATATGAAAATGAATTGATTGGTTGATTTCAGAAAGATGATTATTTTTTTGATACTTTGTTATGATTATTCTCATGAAACATTTGTACCCACATTTTTACCTGTCTATATGTAAGAATGACTATATTGTTCATCCGTATGAAACTTGTATAAGAAATTGTTGGTAAGATATAAATTTAACGGTGCTTAAATTTTTATTTGAATAAGGACAGAAGACTCATCAAATATCATACTCATACTCATTTCAGGGTTTTGGCCCTAAAGAAATTTAGAATTAAACGTCCGAAAGTTTTTTGTCCAAAGCTATATTTTTACAATACAGCAAAGTTATGTCGGTTCCTTAATTAGGATCTAAAATGTGTTCTATACAATAGTTACAATAAAGATCGACTCTCAAATTATTAATTTAAACGTAATATGTTACAATCATATCAAGGTTGCAATGACGTTCGAATGGCTTTAATTTTAATATCGCATTTTAAGCATAAATAGACAGAATTTGTAGTTATGATTCTTGAAATTTCTTAAGGAATGTTTGTTAACTGTTAGAAATGTGCTTGCAATGTTTAGTATAATTACGTTCTGTATAAAATGTTAATTAAAGTCAGCCAAACTTACGTGTGATAATGAGCTCCGACATGAAATGAACAGTCACTATTGCTTGATTTTTGTACTGTTGTCTGTTGTTGTTTTTCATGTAATTCTTAATGTGCATTGGCTTATAATAGAAGGCCTGTGATAGCGTAGATAACTGGTAGTATAAATGACAACAAACCACAAAAGGATTTTAAATATCATGTTGTTTTTTTTTTCATTGTAAAAATATTTAGAAATTAGAAATACGTATTTACTAAACTGGTATTGTTCCGGAACTGAATAACATAACTTTTATGAATTACTTTCATCAAATGATAATTTTATAAGAAAATCTCTACTTATATTTACCACATCATGATCTCTATAGCAAAGTAGTATATAAATGTAATGAAAGTCAAAACTTGTATAAGACATAACCTTGTAATGTTAAATATCATATTTTGTATGACAAGTATTTTGGGCCGGTGGCCTTTATTTCTGAATAAATCTTTTGACTTGACTTGACTTATATATTGTTTTAAATCAAAAGACATCTTTAACTTAACATTTGTTTATCTTATTAATGAAGTTATTGATTGGCATTGTATTAACAACTAATTTGTATATTTGAGTCTGACTAGCTTGTTCAAATATCAATATCTTATTTCCTCATTTCAATAGATATATGTCTTAAAATGTCTGAAGAAGAAAATGTTTTTAAAAGTGTTTTTGTATATTTATCAAACAATAATGATATTAAGTATATTTAACAAATAGTATAAACTGCAGTATACTATAATGCACAGCTAGGATAAAGTGAAAGCAACAATAACATAGCATTAGGTTCAAAATACACATATTTACTCAGCAAATTTAGTCTCAAAATTTCAGCAATATGTATGCTAGTTTATACAATTTTAATTTTATTATCTATATAATTATCTATATAATGCAGTGCTCAATTTTACCGCACACAAGTATTGAGATCATAACTGTTAAGTTACTAAAGCTATTCTAATTGCTTGACAGGTTTGCATAGTTATTTTACAAATATGTAGATGAAACTTTAAAAAACTTAATTTGGACCTCATTTACATGTATTTATATGATAGAGATTTTGATCCAAACTAGCACATTAACATTTTATAAGTATCACTACTGACTTGCATAAATTAGAAATGTGTTCTCTTCCCATCTACAATACAAAGTGAATTTGCCTCTTTTCCAAAATATTATTCTCAAAATTATGGTATGTACAAATAAGATCACAAACTTATCAAATACTCCACTGTTTACACATAATGCATGATGACCTGTTACTGTCAACATTAATATCATTGAATAATGTACAATTAAAGTCCAATGTCTTTAAATTTGAAATATAAACTTGCTTTTGATGTACTAATATGTAATAAAAAAGAAAATTTGAAGAAGTTTTCTACATAAATGCCAAACCCTATTTTATTTGAGTTGGAAAGGGGAGACATATTTATTTATTTTTTGGCCTTATTGAAAATAATGAAATGGTGAACCATGGAGCTTTATAGAAGTCTCTGTTTGAATCCAGGGTTTACATAACATTTATATAGATGACTTAATCTACTCACACATTTAGTAAAAAATGAAAATAATGTTTAAAGTTGATTAAAAACAATAGGGAGTTAAACACTTTTCAACGTTACTGATCAGTTGTTGTTCTAAAGAATATTGAAAGGGCAACTGGTATTCATTACTCAAGAGTTGTACTTTTATGTATAAAAAATAATGTATGAAGCCCAATATGACAATAGGAAACTATTTCATATACTAGAACTATCTAAATTATATGATAATATTATGTTATAATAGTATACCCAAAACAACAGTATAAGATAAAGTATGGTAAACATACAATACTCTTTAAGTAACTTAAAATGTGAGCATTGTCTAAGTGTAAATCCAGTAAGTTATAAGTGTTTAACCATTGCATTACAAACATATTTTCTGGTTTCCAGATGAGCATGGCAGTTTATTACTTTATTATATATATATAGTAACTACCAATTATCACATGTAATAACACATTTGACAATTCATTATTTGCAATGAAACTGACATCAGACAAAAACACTTACAAATAAATATATGAGACAATGGTTTGAATGATTTTTATAAGATATTAAAAGTGAAGATTTAAACTGACAAAACAAACAAAAACTGACAATAATTAACCAACAAAGTTGAGGGGTTTTGAACAAAGCAGTATGGAACCAGTGGTGTCAGATTTTGGTAATCAGCCCTATTTATAGTTTTACACTGGCAGTACAATATTTTGTCAGCTTGTTACTCTAATGATCCAGAATTAGGTAGAATGAGGTAACTATACATTTGTTAAGTGAAGTTCTTGAAAGTCAATTAAATCACAGGCAGGAATATATTTATGTTTGTATGTTGAATTTAAAAGATGATCTTAATACTGATTACTTTAAAACTTGTTTATCAATATGACACCTGAACAGATTCAGACCTTTTATGAAAATTAATTTGTTTTAATACCACATTGAGGCGGCTATTGAAAGTAAATCGGACTTTCTTAAATTCCTGTGAAAATTGTTTAGAATCCTTTTATGATTGAGAATGATGTCCCAATATTGTTAAAATGTTAAAAGTTACTGTTTTGGAGTTGACAGGGGTAAAGCAAGGGAACAAGCAATTTTTTGTGCCACTAACAATAAAATTAATTCACCTATGGAGGTGAATTAATTTTGTTGTTAACTCTTTATTAGAGCCGATGTCTTAACAAAAAGATAACGCTTTTTTTCTGAACAACTGATTTTTCTTAACAAAGATATTTAACAAAAACAATAACAACACTTTGTTAATTCAACACAACTTTAACGTTAACAATGGTTAATCAACAGAATTGCTTTACGCAGAATTTAACAATTTTTTGTTAATTTAACTATGATTTCATTGTTAAATATTTAACAAAAGTTTTGAACAACTGGGCCCTAGTCTTATAATTGCAGTATTGTCCGTTTTAACAAACTTGTTGCATTTTATACATTTGTAAAATGTGATAAAATTAATATAATCATTCGATCATTAAATTTGTATTACATCGCAACATTTACATTACCATATATTATCTGATCGAAATACTTAATCGAATCTTACAAAAGTATTAAATTTAACAGTTATGGAGGAAGCTTTCACTACTTGTGCGCATAAAGATAAATTCAACGGAAACAACAAATAAAGATAAGATGATTTGATACTCTCTGTCAATTTACAAAAACGTAGATAATTGGATGGAGTGGCCAATTCCCCTAACAAGAAGTTGTTACTTACACTTGAAATAATAGTCATATCTAACTGAAGACTAGCTTTTTAAGCAACGAATTATTTTTTCAATATATAAATAGATACAAATTGTTTTTCTATAAATATAAAAAACGGATACCAATATTAAAATGTATAGGATTTTCTATAATCTGTGCTCAATATTTTTTGTTATATCATCAACAGTTATCGTACCCGGCAACGGTAAGTTTATGTTTAATTTTATTTATGAATTAAAGCATGCTGTTATATATATATATTTTGTTTAATATAAACTTAAGTTAATTAGGTTACGATACCGGATATTACGAATGTTACATAACTATTTTTTTTTAAATAGGAATGACATTTTTATAGAAATAGCAAGCAATCGTCATCTTTTATGCTTTTATTTTTCATGTTGTTGATATCTTTATTACTCTTATCGTTATGAGCTGTTCTAGACTGTTATAGCACAATAGATTGGAAGTACGACGGCCGTCAGCAGACGACTGTTACCAAAAATCGTGTTTACGATTAAATCAGTTTCAGACGTACAGTGCAAGTGATTACCCAGATTCAACAAAATCAGACGCATTAGAATATCCTATGATGAAAGATTGTTAACGTGCAATTAAAAATGGTTGACTACTCCTGAATATGTACTTACTCAACAACCTAGTTATGTAATGTCCAGCAATGTGGCGAACAAATTCTCACAGCCTTAGCATGCTTCTATTTATAGAATTCTTCTTTCAAGAGTATGTTCTTTTGGTAAAAAAATGATATTCAAATTTTGAGTACATTAGTAAAGCCTGTTTTGATGAAATAAAACTGATGTATGAAACACTGGTTCTTCTTTTCTTAATGCATCACGTTCTTTAAAAAAAGTTCAGAGAGCATACATACATCATTTGCACAGTTTCATACCATAGCAGAAAATAAAATATTTTATTTATTCGTCAAAAACATGTATCATGAAAACAAGCCAAGTCCATGAATTAAAAATTTTCATTTCTTGTTTCACAAACTAAGGATGTGCTTTTTCAAACTTTAAAATGCGGCATTATTTCTTTTCTCTTGACTTTAATATTACAGTAATCATATTCACCCATTAGCAGAGAATATTGAGTATTGTTACACAGCTCAACTACATTCCATAGCCTTGCACTGTAAGAACCTGAAATGTATTGGCCCCATGCTGTAAAAAGCTGAAGCGCTGTTATAACCGAAAGTGTAATAGCATTAACATTAAAGTTAATAGATTTGTGTTGTAACAAGATTTCCTCTGTTACATGCTCAGTGTCAATAGCCTCCAGCGATTAAAGTCTGATGTAGCTTGGTGGTTATAGCCTGAATTGTCATAGCCCTGGCGCAGTAACAACATATAATTATAATGATACTTGATTCGTATTGTTAAATGTACGGTCTGTATTTCTTGACGCCTTATTAACTGATAGCTTGAAGCTGTAACAACCTGCATGGTAATAGCTTGGTATATATACTCCTACGACATGTATTTTGATAACTTGGAGCTGTAATAATCTGTATTGTGTCCGCTTGGTGATATTAGAACATGCACTATATGATGATGACGATGTTACAACTTGAATTCTTATAAGCTGTGACTATAACACATTTTTTTTTCAAACTAATTTAATTGACAATTTAAGGCTGAAAACTAAAATTATTTTAATTCAAAAGTATATTTTCTTACGGAAAGAGGAAGTTGCTTACTGTAATATAGCATATCGCTAATTAAATGATAAACAATCCTAAAGCAAAAGTAAATTTTAGATACATCATATATTTGAAAGACGTGCATTTTAATTACGCTTAATGTAAAGTATTAGTTTATTGTATAGGTGATGATGGTTTGCGTGAGTGTGGCATATTGAAGATTGACAAACCATCAATACTAGGAAGGAATGTGACAATTTCTTTTACCCCCGACACGTATGATCCAAATGCAATTCTAGAATGGCAGCGCAGCTCGAATGGAATAGATCAATGGCAAACGCTCCCTTTCAACAACAAGTTTACACAATATGAGAAAAAAGCGACTTACCACCTGATAATAATAGACAGTGAAGTAAGCGATAATAAATTTTACCGTGCTCATTACTATAATGAGACAATACACTGCTGGATGGACGCTGGGTACCCTAATCTTGAAGGTATTGTAGAATGAATATTTTGCTGTAATACATGTAATATTTGTTTTCTCTAAATAATGCATCTCAATTATTAAAAGTTAATGAATACACAAGTCATAATCAATAATCAAAACATGTTATTTACTTTATTTTATTATAATTGCTTATAGATAACAGAAACTGGATCTGTTTTTTGATTGATTTTTATAATGTATTATTCATGGTCGGAACACCCACGAAATGTTTATATCAACACAAATTAAATTATTATCTTGCTTATTATATTTTATCTTAAGCTATTTTCAATTTGTGTGGAGTCGTCTTCCTCAGATCTGAAAAGGTGGTTGAGAATGGGACCGCAGAAATCGAATATTATCCGTCAGGTAATGTGATGAGAAATAGCGGTAGTTTCACACGTGAATGGAAACATATCGTCGGAAGGACAAGCAAAACATTGAAATTGACTGATGGCAATTACCAAGAGACGTTGGAGCAAAACAATAAATATGTGTTGACAATTTATATGTTCAATATTTCTATGAATGGAGAGTATCGTGTTTATTGTGGCGGCTCTGAAGAAGCATTATACACAGATGAAATAACCGTGTACTTACCAGGTTTGTGTGTGTTTATTATTCTGCATGCTATATATATTAAACCAACAAATTGAAACGAAGTTATCATATCAAAATCACCCATGCATGACAAAAGTATGAAAGACAATTTCATTCACGTGCAGCGCCAGCCAGCAATGTTGTTTGTATCAATATGAGGACAAGTTTGCTTCTTTAAAAGGAAGCATGCGAGAGGTCTTTTTGCTGTTGTGGAAGATCTGTTTAATTCGAAAATATTTGGGGATATTCTTGCATAAAAGACACAGTGAGTAATTATGAATTACAATTATTTAACAAAATAGAATTTATTATATATATTGAATATAGTATCATATGAAAGTTTGTTTTACACTTCATTTTTTAAATGTTTTGAAAGATTATATCCCGGAGAAATGTACTTTTTTTTTGGCGCATTAGGGATAGTTTTTTCTACAAAGATAACTAAATTTAAAATAAATTATATATATATTAAAAGCATTATCACAAATTTCTTGTAAAATTCAATAAGCAAATTTAAATTTTCGGTAAATGTTTTGGAAAGTACATGGAAACATTCTCTCTACATTTTCCAAAACGGGCATAAAGTATGTTAATCAAGCAATTTTAAGACAATGATTTACATAAAAAATGTTTATATAATTTGATTAGAATAAGGAGAATATAAAACTGCATGCCTCCAACCACAATATTTGAGGAAAATTAAACAGTAGTAAAATTTGTGCCATTTGCGCCAAAAAACCTCCGCTGCGTTATTTAGTCATACTGGTTCAAACGTTTAAGGAACAGTAAACTTTCGGTACACTGTTCACTCGGTCATATAATAGTGCATGGGGATATTGTAGCTAAAATGTTCATTGTTACTATTTATCGGAACATGAAATATTAAAACGTTATTCAGAAAACAATACGATAATCGATTTATAAATTTTAAAACATTAAAACGGAATCAAACATCCACGTAGCGCTAAGTAACGTTAAAGATATTTTCCGATTTTTATATGTACCGATTTGTTCACTTTGATGTTAATTTTTCGTTAAAGTTAAGTCGTATTTTAAAACAGAGCAAGCGCAAAACAATTTTTGGGGAGGCTATGCCTCCCCAATGTTAATACCATTTGTCAAATCTTACTGCCGCGGTAATCAGGTCAAAAAATAGTACCTTGATTTTTTAAGCTGACTCATCACTCATCACAGACATTTATTTTAGACTGCTCCTAATGATTTTACCTTTTAAGTGAGATTCATTCACTACAATCAGATACGCAAAAATGGATGCCGCTCATTCTCAGTCTGAACACTGTGGAGAGGTCTGATGACCCCTCCAATAATATTAATACGTATTTTAATGTAATTAGAAACAAATTATGCCGACATTTTCAATATATGAACAGGGAAGCAATGTTTGTCATCAACTTACATCGATTTTCTGTTGTAAACTTTATTAAAAGAAAGTTTTAACTACAGTATTGTTTTTCAGCTTGATTGATGATAAATGAAACACATTTATGAAAAAATTGGGATAATGTCCTTTTTAGTAATCTTTCTCTGAACGTAAGACCGTACTATTCCTCTTCTGTCCGTGATGTTACAAATGAAATATCCGCCGATATGACAAGGAAAACATCAGAATAATTGCAAATGATTGTTTTCAGTATAAAGGATTTCAAGAAATTGTATGAAAATATAGGTTGATTTAATAGCGAGGACTTTTCGAAACATTTAACATTTATTAGAAAATTGTTCAAGTGTAATTATCATAACAAGATATTATTTCAGTAAGATAAAATGTGAATGTTTTAATTGATGATAGAGTTATTCTACAGGTGACTATAGTTTGAGTAAGTGTGGTCGATTGAGTATTGACAAACCCACAATACTTGGAAGGAATGTGACATTTTCTTTTACCCCCACCACGTATGATCCACATGCTATTCTTAGATGGGGTAAAAGCATGAATGGAATAAATCATTGGCTAGCGCCGCTAAGGTCAACCAAAAAGAAGAGACTATATGAGGAAAATATGATTTACTATCTTATAATAATGGACAGTGACAAAGACAACGAGGTATTTTACCGTGTCAAATATCATAATGAGAGATTAGATTGCGATGTATACGCTGGGAAACTTTCGCTTGAAGGTATTATAGAATGAATTTACTTGCTATTATTTATTTTTTTAACGTATCACAAGTATTATAAATAAATGAATGCACCAGTCATAATTAAAAAAAACATTATATTTTATTGGCATGTATCTCATGTATATAGACATAAGATCTGCGTTCCGGTTGATTTTCTTTTATGTATTATTTAAAGTCGGAACCAAAAAACGGTTATAAAACACAAGTTAAATTACTATCTGCCTTATTATATTAAACCTTAAGCTATATACAATTTGTGTGGATTCAGTATAGATTCATTTTGGACTTGGGCATAGCTACTCGTCATAATAAACATATAAGCTGTGACGAAGCATATATACATTTACAAGTATTTAAAAAGAAAAACTGAAGAAACATATACATATACATGTATTTCAAAGCAAGACAGAGACGTGTGAAAAATATCACTTCATTCAAGGATATAAGATAAGATAAGATAAGAAATTGGGTTATTATAGTCACATTGTACATTTACAATATATTTTCAACAATTTATACAGTCATACAATTTAGAGGTATCCGGCCCAATGGGCCTAAAAGTGACTTTAACATTAATTCAAAATATATTACACATTGGTTAATCGATACGTATATATATCGAGAAAGAAAAGTGAAGTAAGTTTTCTACATTTTGTAACAACACATTAGAAGATTTACGTATACAGTTCAATCAGTAAGTTATGAGTGGCAGCTGGAAATATGATAATGATTTACCGATACATTCAAAAATGTCTCAAGGATAAAGAATTATACCTCTTCTGTGGAGGTATGCTTGAAGGATAAACTTTGAACATTTTCTAGCGTGGTCATTAATAATGACGTAAAGTTTTTGCTCATCAGATAGTACGTTAACTGTGGCTATGGAGCATAAACATATTAGGGTTCGAATAAGGCAGACACTGATTTTTACAAAAGACATGTGCATACCTTATGTCAAATAAACTATAATATCCCCATGTCTTGTTTTCATAGGCCTAGTCAATATCTAACAAAGTAACATTAGCGGATGTTTACCAGTGGAAATACAGGTTTCTGTGATAAAAACACATAGTGAGGTTTACTCAGAAATACACCAATATAGTGAAAATATTGTTTTCAGGGTGGTTGATCCGGATATCCTCCCGGGTTATTTATCGGGTCTTTCTCGAGATTGTTCGACCGCTGATTGATTTGGTGATGTCATTTTGGACACAAGTCAATCAACACGCTAAATAGATTAACTTTTATAAAAACAGCTAAACATGTTACAAACATAATCATCATTATGACACGCGCTATAGAGCAATTATCTTCTAGTTTGTTTTTTAGCACGTCTGAAGTGAACATACGAAACAAAACTATTAGTCGAGATAAGCAAAGGATAATAATGGGAAAATAACTGTTGGGGCTGAAATTGTACATCGAAATACTGAAAATATCGAAATAAAAATATCAGTTAAACAAATATTTCAAATATAGATAAAGAGGGTACAAAATCGGGACTTTCAAAATTAAATCGAGATAACGAAATATCGAGAAAATCGATGTCGAGATAACGATAGTTGACTGTATTTGTGTATTGTTTAAAAATATTCAGATATTTATAAAACAACACAATTATGAATAATCAATTATCTTTTTGTAATGTTAATAGTTGTATGCATAATTTTCAGAACCACCAAGTGAACCTATAATAATTGGATTACAAGACATAGAAAATGACTACTTTTGTTGTGGGATCGGGAGATTTCGATTTCCCTTAAAATACATGCGGGTTCCCGCCCTAAAATGTTACCATGAAAATGGGAAAATAAATCAAACCCCTCACAAAATAATTTCAAAACCTTTAGGTATTTTTCACAGTGGGACCGTACACTGAACAGTAATTTTCAGTCTAAAATTTTTAATTATGTACTTTAAAAATTTACTGTGATTTTTTAAAATAAGTAAGAAAAATATGTTATTTATGTATTTAAGATAGTCTTTTGAATACTTTATTTTTGTAAATAAAACCCCAAATGAAACAATCAAATTTTTTTTTAAACCCATTGTTTATTTTAAAATAAATATTTATTTGTGAAATTTAAAAAGCAAACAAAAAATTTGATTTATTTGCCCCAAAATTTAAAAAGGTTTGATATTAGTGTTATATTAAAATACATTACCTTTTTTTTGTAATTTACGAACCCCCAACTTTAAAATTTTTGGGTCCAGAATTCTAAAAGACGGAAAAGGTATAAACATAATGCACGTGGAAGGGAAAAGACCAAACCCCGCATGTGTTTTTTAGCTTTTTGGGTTAGAATATTGTTGCAAACTCAATTTTTATAATTCGACTCACTTTTAAAATTCAAACATTATCACTTAAACCAATAAGAAGTGGAACAACGAAAACATACGTGCTGTCGAATAACGAAGGGAAAAAATTGCCGGGTGTTCCCCCCAAAAAAGTTAATTTATATTGGTTTTTTTTTTTTCCCTTTAGATTTTTTTAAAATTTTGAGTTTAAAAAATTATTTCATATTCTTTATATTTTTAAATAAAATTTATTAAAATTTTTATAAAATATAGATGTATACCATTTAAGCTTAGTTTATCGTTTTGTTTAGTTCCTCCCACAGATGTAATGTTAGATGTGAAAGTTGACATTTATATAAAATACACAAACGTCTTTAAAACTCCATGTCAGCCCCAAAAATTTATAAAAATAGGTCCCGTTTGCAAATTAAAATCACTATTGAGTTTATATTGTTTTTTTTGTGTGGTTTTTGGAAAGAATCAGCTAAAAGCTCATAAAAGATAAAATATCTTGTATGCCTACCAGCACTGTAGTTGTATACTTGTTGATCATCAGTTATCCGTCTTCGGTCGTTATTTCACTCTGGCGATAAGAATAATGAACCGGACAGAATAAATTAAATTTAAAAGTGTAGCTTTTCGAGTTAATAAAAGATATTTCCCAATAATTTACTTAACAACGCAAAACGTTTTGGCAATATACTGTCAATGCATGTATATAGTAATACATAACAGGAAGCATAATAATAATACAAGGCACTGAATGGCATGCACAATGGTATACACAAAAGTATTGTTATATACTCTGTTCAAGGTAATTAAAATTTTTCTTTTCATTTTCTATTACAGCAAAGCCAGATGATAAAGAGACAGGCGATGATATGAGTACACCAGGTAAAAACAAAAAGATGTTCAACATTGGTCTATATGTGTTACTGTTTTACCAACAAGTGTTGTCCTTAAAGTTCATATAGAATCCCAATTATAATATAAAGCAGTATTAGCAATTTTGAAAAATCATTTGTATTAACTATCGAAATATCTAACAACGCGATAAATTGCAAGATAAATACGTCGTAAGTTTTTGGTTTATTTTAATTTTCTACTTTCACAATCGAATTTTGCTAACCCTCGCTTGTTAAAAAATCTTAAGGTTTGCTTCTACTTAACGAGCTATATTTTAGTGTGCAATCAATAAACTGGTTCCAACTACCATGATTATCCGCGAATGACTCAAGGTTGCATTCGATGCCATTCATTTACAACTTTGGCATTATTCACCACTGTGTTCTTAAAGCACGCTTAATTAACTAAGCTAGTTGCAAGGAAAAGGTAAACAAAATAACGTAATTCCATGTTATAAATTGGAATTATGCGTGTTTATGTAAAACCAATTTAAATCAGTTAAAATGATAAAAAGAAAACAGGGAAGGACGACGTGAATGCATATGCGGATGTCATAAATCAAAAGATGTAAGGGGCTTTGCAGACGAGTTTCGCGTGAGTAGATCAACACTTATTCATAGCAGCACTGTGACCTCAGTTTAGGATTCATTACAAAGAGACAGGCGGGCGAAAGTGTGTTTCGATTCACACAAATAATACATAAGCATAAAATATTGACAGATAATCTTTATATGTGTACGGACTAGGAAATGTAGTGCCTAGGCGGGATGAATGGTATTATAGCCTCAATGGCATTTTAGCATGGTTGTCGAGTAGGAATTTCTTTAAAACAAAATACGGTCGCCCATGTTGGACTTTTACATTATCACACATGTACGGACTCAATCAAACTGAGTGTGCAATTGTCATGTAAAATTGTTGTGACTTATGCTTCCAACGGATCACTCTTCTCTTGATTTTAACAGTCTTTTATTTGTAAACCCACATCATTAAATTGTAGATGTAAAGAAACAAATATTCATTACCATATGTAAAGCTTAAAAATCGCTATGACAATACATTTTTATATGATACATACGAAATATTATGTGAACTGTTGGGACAGCCGTCATATATTTATTATGAAAAAAATGATACAATTTTAATTGACTTTGTAACGATTTGGACCTTATGAGACTTACTGTATTTATATGATACTTTGTAATTGTAATTTAGAAGAAATCGCGAGTGACAGAAGACAAAAAGGTCTAAAATGCCTCCTGTTAACTAACTCGTGTGTTATTAAAATGAATATGTTAAGCATTCATTTTTAAACCCTAAGTAACCACGTGAGCTTAATATTAATAACAGGAACTCGTATTCTTATACATTACTCAAATTCACTTAAATGATTGGGAGCAGTCTCTTTCAAACACAACCTTTTCTCCAAATATACCATACGAAGTCTATTTAAACAATTTGATCATGAACAAAAGAAAGCAGTGTATTTATATTAAGAAACATCATTTATTTATGTTTTTGCTAAGTGCAATAATATAAAGGTCATTGATCGATTTTCATCACAGGCAAAAATGAAACAGGTGTAGGTTCAGGAGCTGTAGTTGGGTTTGCGATTGCTGCATTAGCTGTTGGAATTCTTATTGGTGGGACTTGTACCTTTTTCATTCTTACTAGGAAAGGAATTATAGCAGGTATTGTTATAACATCGGTTTTTTGTCATTTAAAGAAAATAATCTATGAAATATGGTTTATAAGCACACCTTGTAATAGATTTATAATCATCGATAATACAGAAAACCATTTTTGAACACTGCATTATTTCAGATCATTTAAAGAAGAGATTAAGCTTTTATTTAAGGACCTGTTTCCTTTCTTTGTTGATGTTTTTTTTAATAAATCAGTAATGTAACAATTACAATTTGACATAAGAAAATGTGTGATGCCTATAAATTATGTAGCTATACCGATTGATTTTTTTATAATGATTGCTTTTGCAAAAATGATGTAGAAACATAAAACAATAAACAGTTTAATTTTGTTTTTATGTATAACAAGTAATTAAAAAACAACATAATATGTTTTTCTATGCAAGCTTTCTTGCCGTTTTTAAGTGATAACAATTCTACTTTTATCAAACAGATCTCATAATGGTTTGTCATTTGATAAATGATATGAACGATATATATTGCTTGCTTATGTATTTTGGTTAGTTTATTTAACTTTAAGACGCAGTAACCGCTAAGTATTTTAAATGCTTTTACTATATTTTTTTTATATCACAGGCTCAAAAAACTCAGCCGACAGATTTTCTCGTTGAAATAGAATTAACTGAACCACCAACTGATGTGTAAGTTAAGAATGTTTTAAAATGTGTTTCGTGATATAACAATAAATGTCTTCCGTTTCTTTTCCAAAGACTTTGCCAACATACTTTCAAAATTAAGATACATGATATGATTTTCTATTAACAATTGCAAATCACGATTTTATAATTTTTCATAATTATATGAAGAATCAGTTCAAAAAATAAAAATGGCCAAACAAGGGAGATGCCTTGTTGCTGCATATAATCCATCAATCTCATTCTCTCTTTGACGACAACGTTTAAATTGATAACTTTGACATTGCAATTTAACTCGTTTTTGAAAATCATTTCTACTAGGGGTACCCTACGAGCAACTTCGAAAAACAGAACAGATTACTGAAATCAACCCCTAACTTATGAATTTCTCTTGAAGGTATGCTGAATTTCAAATTTATTCTCTGTCATGTCGTATTCATTTAAAACTTGTTATTTATTTATAATCATTTGTTTTTGGTAAATAATATTACGACTGAATTTCTGTTTTGATATAGATCGTTTTGTAAGCAATTTTGGTAAAAAACTTATATATTCAAGCAATAATTTATTTTAAACTAAAGTATTTTGATATATTGTAATATAAAATCTGACATGCAATTTATGATTGTACCACAGCATATTGTCTATTAAAACGAATACAATGGATTTCTTTAACAAAATGTACTACCAGTCGTTTCTTTTTTCTAAAATTCTGTTTCAGTCAACTCCGGAGTTACAGCCAAACAGGTATGGAAATCGCGAAAATATTTACACCCAAGTTTATAGTTATTTTCTAAAGATAGCTTTTTAACATAAAATTATCCAATACTACCAAGATTAATAAAAATTGATTTTTAACAAGCAATCCTACTTCATAATTTTTAATTAAAAATATACTAAAGGTTCAAGGGCCCTTATTGTATGAACATGAATAATTATAGGATTAAAAATTGATGACAAATTTGCGGAAAAAGTATGTAAAGTAATTTCTTGCCTTTTATTACCTAAGATATTGTAGTTTAATTTGCAGTTTGGCTCAATGCGTTCAAATTTAAATTTAACAATGCATCTTTAACAAACGTTACAAAACTTTTTTGTCAATGATAATTTGTAAGAGAAAATTTTGAAACCAAAGACTGTTAACTGAAATCCTTTGGTTAGAATTCATGATAACTATTGTAACATTTATTAGATCTGCTATATTTCATGTTTATTGTAAATTACTTTTATTTTATGTTTTTAATATGCTCTTTGATACGTCAATTTTCAGCCAATCTCAGTATGAAAGTCTTAATCAGGATGCAGAGAAATATCACACATATACAGATCTAAAA